CTGGTATACAAACGGAGTTGCAATTGGTATACAAGAAGTTGCATCTCAATGCAGATGCGTGTGATGCCTGGCCTGCCTGCCGAGACTCGCCGCATGCATTCCTAGTAGTGTTATTTGCTGCAATAACTCCCGTGTTTTTTTTCCTTTTTCTTTTTTTTCCTTTGAGTGAAGTTCTTTCTTTCTCTTTCTCTCACCCTATACATCATTTGTACGTGAAGTCCCTAAGGATGGCTCAATGCTTTGTCGAGTGGAAATAGAACTACCATTGACACACTTTCGTTGCTCCCTACGGCAAATTTTCTTCTGAGCACACCCACAGCCAACCCAAGCATCTGCCTATAAGCAAGCAGCTTTACAAGTAATTTTGTGCCAGCGTCGTCCGGTGCACAAGGAATGAAGGAATGTGAGCTGCTGAGCCAACCTAAGACAGTTCATTGAAAATGTTTCTTCTACCTGCTTGCTTGCTTGTTTACTGTACATGAGTTCATTGAAAATGTTTCTGCTAAATAGGCTACAACCAAGTTACAATTGTGTTGCAGACGTGCTTGCAACTCATTGTACAACTTAGTTGCAATTACATACTTTAATTTTTTTTTAACAAATATAGCCTTCATGGATCTCATTTTGTTAAGCACATTTTTTTCGGAGAACCTACTTCAAACCAATTCAAAAACTGATCACTTGTTTAGGAGATATCACATTTTTTTGAATCGAATTAAGAAAAGATTCCATCCATGCATGCTTCCTGGTGCGTGGGTTGACCTGTGAGGTGGCATCACGTGGTTGGTTGTGTCCATTTAATTTTGCATGCACGAGCGCAGGTTTGGCAGGAAAATGTGGGGAGGATCCTACGGGCGTGCGCTGGCACGTGGACCGCAGGGTTAGAGATGGTCTGTGCACTCGTTGCACGGAATGCAATTGGCCTACCACTCGAGTAGCAACAGGTCTACCACTAGAGTTGCAATTTATGTACGACTGAAGTTACAATCGGCTGACGGGCTGAGTTGGAACAGGTATAGAAATGGAGCTACAACCAGCCGTCTAGGGTAGTTGCAACTGGCCTACACAACTGGAATGCAACTGCCCTATCACCAAGGTTGCAATTTGTGTACGACGAAAGTTGCAATCGGTTCAAGAGATGAGTTGCAACTGGTATACAAACGATGATGCAACCAGCCGTCTAGAGCAGTCGCAACTGACTACCCAACATGAATGCAACGAGCCTAAGCAGACACCCAGAATCGTGTCCCTACCGTCAGAATCATACAATCGTCATGTCCGTTATGGTGCAGCTCTAGCTGTTGGAATCTCCTGTGCTTGAACAAGATTGAGTGAAGCCATCTCCTTGCTAGAGCCTCTTACATCAGACATCGTTGACTTTGTACGCCAGGGCGCTCTGATTGTCATGGCAATGGTGATGATCCAGACCAATGAATCTAGTACCAACAAGAAAACAACTAGGTTAGCCACGTGTAACAAAAAAAACAGCCAGCATGCATGCATGGAATCTTTGGTTGGTTCGAATTTTTGGAATAAGTTTTCTCCAAAACCATAACCCTGATTGACATACCGTTTGTTGTGTTGTACTCAGAAAAATATGCTTAGCAAAACTAGATCTAATATGTGTATATTTTTTGTCTTTTAAACGAGTTGCATATCTGTGTACTAGCGATTGCAACTTTGTCTACTCCCGAGTTGCAACTAGTTATAACTCGGTGTATTATTTGCATCTGCTCACTATAATCACGTCAAGTTGCAATTATATCTGGTTGCATCTGCTCACTATTTAGTAGGAGTTGCAAGCGTATGTGGTTGCAATTAGTGTAGTAATTGTGTTGTAACAGAATAGTGACTAATTGCAACTAGAAGTAACCGGGTTATACCAGGTTATAACTAGTTGCAAGCAGTGCTACTTAGGCTACAACCAAGATGCAATTATGTTGTAGTTGTGCTTGCAACTCACGCTATGACACAGACGCAACTACATACTTTTAAAAAAAACTTCGTCAAATATAGCCTTCGTGGATCTCATTTTGTTAAGCACATTTTTTCCAACAACCTAGTTCAAACGGATTTAAAATCGGATCTGTCGTTTATGAGATATCACATTTTTCGTTTCGAATTAAGAAAAGATTCCCTGCATGCATGCTTCTTGGTTGGTGGGTTAACCTGTGATGTGGCATCACATAGTTGGTTGCCTCTATCTATTTTTTGCATGCACGAACGTGGAGTTTGTTAGAACGTGGAGTTTGTTAATGCGAGGACCAGCTGCTGTGCGGTACGTGCCAGTACATCTCTCGCTCGCCGTTCACGCTCGCGGTCGGGTGCATTTGCTGCACAGAATGCACCCAGATGCATATATATATATATATATATATATATATATATATATATATATATATATATATATATATATATATATATATATATATATAATTTAAATCTGACCAGAACATATATAATTCAAATCTGACCACAAGCACAAGAGCATAAGGTGTTGGTACTAAGAATATCTACCTAAGTGAACGTTATAAGTATTTACACTACTCCCTAACCAATATGTAAAACAACAGGAAACTGAAAGGTATGGCTTTCCATTTCACCATTATGGTCACTGACATAGAGTTCAATTCACAAAGTCCAGGTATATCATCTCTTCAATCTGCAAGAAGGCAAGTTATAGTCATAGTGTAAGGCAGGGTTTCTGAAACATAGCATAGCTAGAGTTCAATTCACAGAGTCCATTATATAAGTATCATTTCAAAGAGCAGTAAAACAATCCATTGCTGGCTGGATTTTAAAATAGTATCATGTGCATAGATATTTGAGCTGTCTCAGGTAGGGATGCTCTAACAATCTTTCAATCTATCAAGATTATTAACTAACCCTGAAGCTATTTTCACGTGTCCTGAAACACTAAATGCCAATATCGAAGGGTTGTATTACATCAAAATTCGTATGACATGTGCAAAAATATATTGGATCGAACCACTTCACTCCATACTTGAAATAGGATAGGAGATGTCAGTCCAAGCATTATATTTGTTAAACCACTGATAAACATTTGTGCACGGCACAATAATACATCTATATATAGCAACAAAAAATGGACCACTATTCTAGCAGTTAGCCAATAATGACATAAATTAGATCCCTAAGAAAGCACGGGGCACTGACCGAGTCATTGACCACTATAGGACCTAGAGCCCTGAGATCCGTAAGAAAGCTCCACATCAAAATGAGGAAAATCCGCAAGGGACAAGAAACATAAGCAACTCCCTAATGGCATGATTGCACCAGGCTTTGGAAAGCACATATAAAAAGAAATAAACAAATACATCAAGGTTCTCCAATTAAAACAACGCTAGAAAGCAATCAAAATGAACTATGCAAGAAATGCAGGACCTAAAAAGAGGAACCACTATTCTATGCAAGAAATGCAGGATGTAACAACAAAATGCAAACGAATTCATTTTCAAAACCAATTTTCTTTTCTCCTTAAATCAACAAAATAAAATGACATGCACCATTGGTGGCCGGTCTGATTGTTAGTATGAAATAATAAGACTTAGACAGTACATAACTATTATCTCTCAATAAACATGCCATTAAGGAACATGGCTGGTGCAATATAAAAATATTCAAGAATTAGTTTTCCCTAAACCTAGCTAGCAGACATGCGCTACACGAAGCTGCGGTAACCTGTCATACTCAATCAAATACCTTATGTTTCATGGGAGTGGGAAGAATGTGCAAATACTGCACAAGCAAGCAAGAGGAGCCACAAGAACTGACCAAAATGCTATCTCTGAACTTAGCCGAACCCCTCTCCTTTGTTCAGAAGCTCAGGACCTCGAACCTGCAATGGGACAACAAATAGTTAAGGTCAGTGCTCACATCAGCTGACAAAGCTAAATAGAAGTTCATACATATGACAACAGCTATATATATGAAAAAAATATTCATTAGTGAGAGCCCACAACAGTTGGCAAGGCTAAATAAAAGTTCATACATGGTGGTAGCTCTGTAAGATGTCCAGACCATTGTCCTAACAAAAGCAACTACTAAAGAAGTGAACTAGCTCAGGCCAAAAATACCCTGAATCAAACTCACTCAAGCATGACCCAGTTTTAGGCAACCGTCACTAGTGTCTAAGGCAAGCAATAGATGTTGGAACTAGGTAACTAATATTATCAGACTTTTTAAAGCTGAAATAGAAATTTGGGGGTTTTTTTTCCTGTAACACAGTCACACATGCTAGTGCTAATTTGTAGACTGAACCTATACATGGTCCAAAGAGTGATTAATTATGTAGTATTTCTGTCATGTAGGAGCGCTAAGTTCAGATTGTAGGTTATATGATCTTACAGCCAAGGATAGTAATTTGAATTTGATGCAAGTAAATGTCCCAACTCCCAACCATTTTGTCCTCTACGGTTTAGTTAAGAAAATCTCAACACCAGTTAAATGTTTCTTCTGTTCTCTCTCCACTTCCATCATCTCTCTACTGCCTAACTCTTACAAAAACAACTGTACAAAAAACAGACAAGGGCAAGGTGGGAAGTGCATTACATATTCTTGTATGACGATGCATTTAATCACAACACCATCCAACAGAGGCTAGCACATAGCAGTCAATTGCAAAACAACAGTTAGCTTGCATTGACATTTCATAAAACACCTAGATTACATGCAGTGGCAGCACAGAGCAGAAAGCACGTAGTAGCAGCACAGAGCAACCAGCAGAGGATTTCCAGCGGCCGAACTCCAGATGCACAATAGCAGCAACGCTAGGTAGCAGCATGGGGATTGGGGGTGATAGGGACGACAACCTCACCTGGATTCTCCATGCACAACTGCGCCGGTGAGGTAGAGGTACTCGAAGATGAGGTGGATCCGGTATCCCTACCACGAGCGGCCATGGATCTGGCCTCCCTCGTACGAGCGTCCGTGGATCTGACGCACAAGAAGGGCCCCTAATGGCCGCTCAACGCCACGACATGGCGGAGGGTGAAGGACGGCGATGGACGGGGCTAGGCGGGGTGGTGCGACGGATGAGACTTGGTGCTGCCTGTGGCAAGCCGGGAACCCCAAACCCTAACGAATTTGGTGCTGACATAGAGCTGCAGATGATAAGGTGGACGAGCGGCGTCGGCATCGGCGGAGCGCACCAGTGGCGACCAGGCGGGCAGCGAAGGTGGAGGGTGGGAGCACGATGTGTGGGTGCGGGATCCGGCAGCGGAGGGGGTCGGAGAGACTGAGGTGAAATGGGAGAAGAGAGGGGGAGAGAGGAGAGGAGCGCTGAGCACGTTGGACGCAGTACCGAGGGGACGGGATGACCGGTTCCAGACTTGAGTCTGAACTTAACCCATCTTCATAATTTTTTCGGGTCCGATGGCTTAGGCTAGACGTGTTTTATTAAAATGCGTCACTGACTACATTTGTAGGGCTGCAGCCTTATGTATATGCAGCATTTATAGGGGCGGCTGGTGATTGAGCCGCTTCTACAAATCGCAATATTGGGGGTGGCTGGTGAGTAAGCCGCTCCTACAAATCGACCTATTTATAGGGGCGGCTCGTATCACCAGCCATCCCTACTGTGCCATTTGTAGAGGCGGCTGGTCTCGTTGGTCCCGAGCACGTCCAGTGTTGGGGCGCCTCTATCCCCTGCCGCCCCTACAAAAAATTAAGCCGTTGCTAAAATTTCCACTGTAAAGCAAATAGCTACATCACACTATCACAGAATCATTTTGTATCATTTAGCCATCCTCATGCAAAGTCAAATATGAAATTAGGAAGTGTCTCATATACAATTAGTACCTCTATAATTTGGAATGGAGTAACTTTTTCTAAAAAGTATGTTATACTCAGCTTTGTTTTATTTTTATAGCACTGATCAAATCAGTTAGTTTTGTTTTGTAGAATAGAATTCCCAAATAATAGCCACAATGATTTAGCTGATTTAGTCAATTCTAATTTATAACTAAACAATATGTGCATAAAATTGTCGAAACAAAGGAACAAGTAGTTCTGTGAACTTGTTAAGATTAGCAAATGTTATCAGTGGGCCATGCATGACATTACTGTATAGTAAGTTACAAAGTAATCACATGAAATGCGTAAGAATTTCATAGGAGTCAATCCAATTTTACAGAAAACAAATTCCGAGAAGTTGGCACTGAATTGGCTCAGTTTGTCGATACAAAATTATTTCATCAATGCTGAATGGACTTACAACACCACCTCAACCATGGGTAAGATATTTAACTGTGGAGGAACCAATAAATTGACACTGATGGTGTTTACACCAAAATTTAGGAGAAGAACGCGGGAATTCGAAGGCTTCCAAGATTATGCCAATCAAGGAATCGATTGCATAAGGGCTGATATCAGCTGATTCAGATACGACTCTGAAATCGGATCTCTTTGAATGATGTCAGCAGATAACGATGATGGGTTACGGTTGGTGCCAGAAAACTACATATCGGACTCTACAAAAAGGGAAAGATTAGGGTCAAAGTTATCTTAAGATAGAAATGTTTTATTCTATATCGAAGAATGTAATGAGTCGTACTCGAATAGGATTCATGTTTAGGCTCCAGGTATAAATATTGGACCCCGGCTATTGTAAAAGACACACAATCAATCAAATACAAGTTACTTACTTTTTTCGGCTCCGGCCACCCCTTAGAAGTAGGAGTAGAGTAGATCTCGGTGCGTTCTTCAGCGAGCAGGGCTGCATCGGTCCAGCCGACCTCCGGCTTGTCTGTAAGTACCGTCATGGCTTATACTTCTGTTTGTACGGCTGCATCGATCCGGTCGACCTCAACTGCGACTCTGGTATAAGCTAGTTATCGACTCTTGTTGAGTTCAAGTAAGGCTGCATCGATCCGGTCGACCTCCACTGCTCGAACTAGATTAAGGTCAAGTTATCGGGTCTATCTAAGGGTGACGTCCTTCGGATAGATTCATTAAGTTACCGATATTGCTTATTGCTTTCATTATATATTTGATTATAGCAACATCACTTCATCCGATTGGGCCTTATATCCTATTTAACCCATCATTTATTAATCTAAACCGATCTAATCTGCACCTTAAACGATGAGTTATGTTTTATCGGCTATTTTATGTCAATCTTGATCGTGCATAGTGTGTGGTTAAGACATGTCTGGTCTTAAATAGATCTATTGGCTAATGAAAACCGTTTCTTGGCCCATTATCACGGCTGTGTGATTCTGCCTCACACCCCACTGTTAGCACCGTGGAGTGGGGATCGTTATTTGGTAGATCTGTTCCCGATAGGGCATGACCTCAATTGTGCGCTATGCCTGAATCGGTTGTTTTAGCCGATATCGAGTGTTTTCACATATGCAGTTCACGTCACGAGACCGTTAAAGTAAAGATAGGTTGAAAGATGTGTTAGCCCCATGATCTTATTATTGTATTACGGCCTGCATGATTCTACCTCATGCCCCACTGATATTAATCATAAGTTAGGGTCGTCGAATTTATTGCTGTTTCTATGGCCTGCATGATTCTGCCTCATGCCCACTGGTCATAACGATAGATGAGATCTCATATGTTCATAGATTTATCTCTATTAAATGGTTAAATGATGATGGGCTAAATTTTCATATAAAAAAGGGATTCGGTTACTTACAGTCATTGGCTTAGCATAAACTGATTAGTGTTGATATCCTATTGCCATTGACTAATATTTGTCTAAATAACAATATTAATCCTGAATGATAACCGAATTTTCATCCATAACTCTATGAGCTTTAACTGATTTATTCTTATAAGTATGCTGGAATCGGCTATTTAGTCGATCTCCTTCCACATCGGCTCTCAGAGCCACACATTTGGGACTGTCTGGCAACACTGGCATGTTCCGCCTTAAATTACTGATTAGCTTTCTCTTCTTATCAATTGCAGGGTCAAATTGACTAGCACGTCTCGGGAGGAGTGCGCAGGATCGATAATCCCTGCGTTGAAGCTAGGTGGATCTCCAGCTCCATCGAGCGGACCTTTCTGGCTTGCTCGTGTGCCTCGACACGGGACAAAATTTTGTGCCGACACACGTTCTGGCACGCCCGGTGGGACACCACAATCGTCATGGCGGCTTACAATAACAACGACATCCTTATGGTACCTTATGAAGACCTACCTGATTGAGATAAAGATGTCATCAGCAAAGCTATAGAAAAATTTCAGAACAAGTGTTTGTTGTCCTACACCAAAACACGTGACTATACAATTGTTCAGAAATATCCACTACCAAGAGTTCTGTTGCATGAGCAGACAGATGCAGATGAGACTGAAGACAGGCGTTTCTTCATGGAAGCTGTAAACAAATCTGTTCATGATGCCATATCAAACCATATTGAAATTTTCTTGAACACATTCCACAACACCATCAAGGAGGTGTTTCATGGGTTTCCAGTTGATCAGGTTGGACCGGCTTATTACAACATTCCACATCCGTCAACCCAGGGGACTAATCAAGTCGATACCAGCCATCAAGAAGCAGCACCAGCTAGTAATGATGATGTCCAGGTAGTTCAGAGTTCATCTGAGCAAGCTTAAGGTACTACTACGAATCAGATATAGTATAATCCTGGATCGTTAGTGCAGCATGTGCAACAGCCGGCGGGGAAAGGTCAGAACTAGATGATTAATTTTGGCACATCAGGCCACATACCATCGTCGGCTCAAAAAATAGCACCATCAATTTAAAGGATCCGTAGAGATATAGATCCTCATGTCTACAACCAGAGACTTCAAGCAGCAAACCAGCAAAGGACCCAACAGATAGAGATTCTGCAGGGGTATCATTATGGCATAGATTATAACACCCTTCACATGATTCCGAATCCAGGATATCAAGACACACGGGATTTCAATCCACATATGGGTCAGCAAGTGCAGAGAAATCCAAATTCAAATGTTGATGAGTTGTTGCTAAAGGTGACCGAGATGATGAAGAATCAGTTCGGTCTGAAGCCAAAAGGACTGACCTTCTCGTACAAACGCCCATATACAGAATGGTACGATTTGGTCGCTGTTCCTACAAATTACAGGCTCCTAGAGTTTGCCAAGTTCACTGGCCAAGACACCACAAGCACAATAGAACATGTCAGTCGGTATCTTACACAATTGGGCAAGACATCCGTTGAAGAGGCCCATCGAGTTTGTTTCTTCTCCCTGTCACTGTCAGGGCTAGCCTTCACTTGGTTTTTATCACTACCAGTTAACTCCATTGCCAATTGGGCTGACCTAAAGAAGAAATTTTATACATATGTCTATACTAGGACTGGAGAAAAGAAGATTACCGATTTGACAACTATAAGGCAGAAAACTAACGAATCAGGCATTGAGTTTCTTCAGAGGTTCCGAGAGACTAGGAATCTGTGCTTCTCATTAAACTTGGTTGGTGATCAGCTAGCCGCTTTGGCCGTTCAAGGGATGCTGCCAACGTGGAAAGAAAAAATGTTGGGACAAGAATTTGACAACTTGGGTCAATTGGCTCAACGAGTGGTAGCGCTCAATAGCCAATTCCAGAGTATGCGCAGAGATACCCGATTTCAGAAGAGTACCACAGTGGCTGAAGCTTATAATCCATATTCAGTCGATGACAGCTATGAAGATGATGAAGAAGTTGCTACGGCTGAATGGAATTGGGGCAAAAAGACAGTAATGGTGCCAAATCCTTGGGGAAGAGGAGTCAAGAAGAGCTATGACTTTGACGTCATAAAATCAGATAAGCTCTTCGATTTCTTGCTTGAAAAGGGACAGATCAAGTTGCCCGATAATCATGTTATGTTGCCCCCTGATCAGTTGAAGAATAAGAAGTTCTGCAAGTTCCATAATGCTACTTCTCATTCCACTAATGAATGCAGAATTTTCCAGCAGCATATACAGAGGGCTATTCAGCAAGGAAGACTCAAATTTGATATGCCTCAGAAAATGAAAGTTGATGATAATCCTTTCCTAGGAGATCAAAACATGGTCGATGCTAGACTGCTCAAAGGAAAGACTAAGGTCCTGACATCAACCAAATCAAGAGAAACTGGAACAGTCGATCCCGAGATGCAAATATCGGCTGACAAATACAGAGAAATTAGAAGACATCACGATAAGCAAAAGAGCCGATATGAGCAGGGAGAAACGTCCAAAGATGGGGTGACAAAGCCATGGGTTACATCTCGAATTCTGTTGAATAAATGGCAGCGGCAGAAGGAAAAGAATTATCAGCGTT